AGATGGATCTATTTATAATATGATAATTTATACAACAGTTCGACAAATGAATTGATGTATATCTACAAAAATATGTATGAATAATACAAAACTTTAAATATTACATCACACTACTTTTATGAGAGAGATTATATATAGTAGATATAAAATATAAAACATTAGTGATTAGACATTACTTCAGACTAATTTTTTCAAGCCGAACAATTTTTAATTGAATGTGTGATAACTTGTTATATATTTTCAAACTGAATAATTTTTAATTTGACAGGTTTCCTATTATACGTGTGACAATTTTTTAGGTAGTATATATATATATTGCAATAAATTTATATTTTGGGTATACAAAAAACAAAAAATCGATTTACTATACTAAATTTTGAAAATTTTATTTTTAAAAACAATTGACAAAAAGAATACCAATAAAGAGAATTGGTGTATATCTAAAAAAAAGATTTGTATATATCTCATATAAAATCGTTCATTGATAGACTCTTTTGTTAAATAGTTGGTTTGAATCAATATATAACAAATTTTGTTGTCCATCGTTATTAGAGTTTTTAAATTAATTTGTGTAAATGCATAAATAAAAAGAGACCTAAACTATGAACAAATTTTCATCTTTTGAAATCAAATAAATGACAAACACTATCTTTTAAAATAAATAATGATAATGATTATAACATTATATTATCAAAACCGATAAGGTATATAAAATTTGTTTTCCTTTTCAAATCAATAATGAAGAAAAAAGTCTAATTGGTGAAAAGATGATATATACAAATCATGATTTTAGAAATCTGATATATACAAATCTTAGCATGCGGTTTCAAACAATTTAATAATATTATAATAGACTGAATGAATTATGATTCAGATTCATGTAAAGAAAATTTTGAACATATTTCTAAAATCATGCTATATACAAATCATGATTTTTCTTGGAGATTTATTCGGATTTTCAAATTGTTTGGAAATCACGATTCCTAAAATCATGATTTATTCGGATTTACATTCAGATTTCCATATTGTTTGGAGAAATAGGAGATATATTCGGATTATGATTCCTTATTGTTTACCAATATAGAAGTATTTGATGTTATTAATAAAAAAATGAAAAAAATCTGATTTTCTATTTTTTTTTACTATTTTTAAGAGATAATTAATGAAAGTAGCGGAAAATTGTTTCTAAATTTGATTTATGTTAATTGTTATTATATAGGATCAACATATATGTTAACATATATGTTAACATATAAGTAACATATATGTTACTTTCACGTAAATACTAATATATATATATATATATATAAATTATTTCTAACAATTATTAGAAATATGATTAATTCTTAAAAAAAATCTTTATTGACAATTATTAATTAAATGTTTTATATTGTATTTTTAAATTTTTTTAAAATATGTATGTTAAGTGTATTTCTTAAATTAAGTGTATTATATATGGTAAGTATATTTCTTAGATTTATTTTGATTTTTATTCCATATTTTTTATTGTATTCCTAAAAAAAATTGGATAAAAAAGGTATGCTAATAAATAGAGATTTTGTTAATTTACTATTTTTAGGCACTAATTAATGAAATTGGCGGGAAAGTATTTCTAAAAGTGAATTATGTTAATCCTTATTATATATTAATAGATAATACCAATAATAAGATTAATAATTATTCTTTTATCAATTAAATAATGAACATAAAAGGAATAATAATGACCAATAATAAATGGAAATAAATATATACCATAAATGATGCTAGACGATATTTCGTCTACATCATTTTCTCCCCGTTGGAAAGAATTCGCCCTCGAATCTGCACCTCTCGGCGTCATCTGATGTCCCACACACAAACACCAATCTCAAATGGAATTGCCTCCGACTATCGACAACATTTGTCTAGAAATAAAAAAAAAAATTCTCCAATGCAAACAAAAATAGACTGGGTCATGCTGATGTGATAGCCAGAAAAAGAGACTCGGTCTACTCTTAAATATATTTTAGACCCAATTAGCGACCCAATCTCTTTTGCATCGAAGTGAATTTTGTTAATTTTACATAATTTTATCCGTCATTCAAAATTTGTGTTTATGTACATGCACAAAGCACAAGATTTTTTTCCCCCCTTTTTCTTTCATTTTTCTAGTTCCCCGTATCCCAAAGTAATTTAGTCACGAGTGATTTAACTGTATAATCAAGCTACCACATGACGTGTTACTATGTCTAAAAAAAGGCATTTGCCTCGTTGTTAGAATCAATAATAATATCACATCGTATTTTCTGGAGTTAGGGCTTGTTTTTTTGTACACTTGGGACTTTGCCATTGGTTGTTTGACTTCAACTTATTTCTCTCTTCTTGAGATCTCCTTGTTTCTGGGAGCGAACGTGCGAAAATAATTAATTAAGAAATGTAAATAAATCTTCGATGATTTTATAAAAATGGTATTATTGCTGTCACATGACGTGCTAGCTTCGAAATTGGAGGCAAACCTTGAATGATTTTAAATGAATGGTGGTGTATTGTGATAATGTATAGCTTCATAATTGTGCGTTATGTGCGCCGGTCATGTAGCATTCAAGCTTCAAGTAAAGGAATTTTATAGTTAATATAATGTTAAACACACGCAATAATCCTCACCTACCCACGGTGGACACATATTAATATGTTCACCGCTTATGTGGCATGCACATATTAGTGATGTACTTTTTTTGAACATATTAACATCGCCAATGTGTATATGCCACATACGCGGTGGATATATTAACATGTGCCCACCGTAGGTAGGGGAACATTATCTTAAACATATGACTCGTGACAAGACAACCAAATTTTGACTGAATTAATGATAAAAGGCCCTGCGCTCTAGGCGTCAAGCGCGTCGAGCGACTTCTAGAACACTAGTCAGTTTCCATTGTCTCTATTTTGTTTCTATATTTTTTATTTTTAATTCGAAAAACTTTATGTATGCCTCTAATTAACACTTTACTATTAGATATCATGTGCACACGCACAGATGTACATAAAATATAATAAGTAATATTTGAGAATTTAATATTAAAATTCTAGACAATGAATATATTACATTTTAAAAAATTTTATCATTAGGAAAATAAATTGACGACTTTATTATTGTGAACAATTGTTTATTATCATTAGATAATAACAGTTTGATTATTATTATTATTATTATTATTATTATTATTATTATTATTATTATATATTTAAAAAAATTGTATATAAGCTTCTAAAGTTGTTTGACTATGCTATTAAAATAATTTACTAATTAATTTAAAAAAAAACATGAGATACAAAAGAAAAAGATAATATTGATGTTAAAATAAATAACTTGAAACAATTGTTTAGAATTATATAATTTATATTTATTGTGCATTATTATTAGTTGGTATTAGCAATAACTATTATATAATATAATAGAAACATACATGATTACACTTAATAGGATGTATTAATGTGAGAAGTAAAAACATATTTATGAAAACTTTTGTAACCGAAAATAAATGAAAATATTTTAGAGGTTTTATTAAATACTACATGCCAGCAATTATATATATAGATTTTGAGGATACTCAAGACTCTTCCATAATGCATCATTCTTGCATTAATAATATGTTTATTTTCTACGTTTTCTGTGTATTAGATATGTTTGTTAATTTGTTTTCAAGAATCTTGATTGGTTGCAAAGTCAAGCAACTTAATTCAAGGTGGGGAAAAAAAAATGCTATTCATCTCACAACATGTTGAAAAAAATACATTATTTTTTCGCGCGCTAATTTCATTTTCTCCTCCAACTTAATTTACCAATGTAGTTTTCTTGAAAACAAACTCGATTATACTGTATATATCATGTATTTCTTGACTAGTACTCGTTATTCTAAGATTACTATTATTATTAATATAGCGAAGTAGCAAGTGCAAAGATGAAAATTAGTCATTTTGTCCTGTGAAACGACACAATTATCCTGTCAAAATCCATTTTTCGAATCCCAGATTTATAGAAACGGTTTTGATAGTAACCATTGTAAAATGACAAATCATTTTTAGGATCCCAGATTTGTAGAAATGGTTTTTGGTAGAAACAATTTTTTGATCCCAGATTTTTAGAAACAATTCTTTTGTGGTAAAGATAATTGTGTCATTTTACAGGGCAAAATGACTATTATTCATCCTTCCATAAAAACTTGACATTTTCTTATCCTTTTAAAAGCTACATGGCCATTTAAGTGATATTTAATAATAATAATAATATTATTATTATTATTATTATTATTATTATTATTATTATTGTTATTATTATATAAAATCAATTTTGTAATTTACTATCAAGTGCATTTTTATACTTGCTCCTATATATTTATCGGGAAATGTTATGGTCCCGCTACGGAATCATCCCATCGGGTGTTTTAACTTTTGGATCATCTAACTTATACTAACTACATATGTATCCAATGGTTTAAACTCCCGACGGAATAGTTCAAGACCGTAGCATTTCTAATAATAATAATAATAATAATAATAATAATAATAAAAGGAAAACATTAAGCAATTATGTGCATTATTGGTTAATGAAAAATGCTAGAAGTACATGGGTCCACTTAATTTTTTAATTTTGTTAAGTCACACTAAACGTGAGTGTTATGTACACCCATAGGTACAATATTATATATGTATAGCATTATTCATTGATTAATTAATGAATTTTACATCTCGACTAGGTCCCGAAAAATCTGTTACGTAGCAGACCAAAAATCAATAAATATGTGAAAATAATGAAAAATATCAACAATTATCTACACGACGACATGTGGTTCTCCTCGTCCCGTGCCAGCTTTACTCACGTCACAGTCCACGAACTTGGCCTATATAAATGCACCATATATAAGCCTCCCCATAAAGCACACCAATAACCCACACCCTCAAATTCCCACACATACAAACAAGCAATTTTTTTTTTTTTTTTAAAAAAAAAGCCCATCATGGGTCTCGCCCAAGAAGCCCACAACGTCCGGGTCATCGGGTCGGGTCCACAGACCGTAGTCCTGGCTCACGGGTTCGGCACGGACCAGTCGGTGTGGAAGTACTTGGTGCCCCACCTGGTGGAGGATTACCGGGTCGTGCTGTTTGACATTATGGGCGCAGGCACGACCAATCCGACTTACTTTAACTTCGAGAGGTATTCGAGCCTCGAAGGGTACGCCGGCGACGTCATCGCCATCTTGGAGGAGCTTCAGATAAGCTCGTGCGTTTATGTGGGGCACTCCGTGTCAGCCATGATCGGAGTCATTGCCTCCGTCACCAGGCCCGATCTTTTTACCAAGCTTGTCACAGTCGCCGGCTCTCCTAGGTAAAGTAATATTATTATTTATTTATTTTTATTTTAAGAACTAGAGAGATTAATTAGCTAGCTTCCATATATACATGTATATAACTGATTTAAGGTACCTGAACGACCCGGACTACTTCGGAGGATTCGACCTGGACGAGCTCCACGAGTTGTTCGAGGCCATGAAGGAGAACTACAAAGCATGGTGCTCGGGTTTCGCCCCGCTGTGTGTCGGGGCCGACATGGAGTCGCTCGCTGTCCAGGAATTCAGCCGAACCCTCTTCAACATGAGGCCCGACATCGCCCTCAGCATTCTCCAGACCATATTCTACAGCGACGTGCGGCCTCTCCTTCCACACGTGACCGTCCCCTGCCACATCATCCAGAGCGTAAAGGACTTAGCCGTGCCAGTTGCCGTGTCCGAGTACATCCACCAGAGCCTCGGAGGGGAGTCCATTCTTGAGGTCATGGCCACTGAAGGCCATCTGCCGCAGCTCAGCTCACCGGATGTTGTGGTCCCCGTCCTCCTCAGGCACATACGCTACGCCATTGCACGCCCAAATTGATCGTTTTACTTTTGTGTTAGTTTGTAATGTTCATTTGGCCCAATTTCTCTTTGCCTCTTTGAGTGATGTTCAAATAAAAGTTGGAGATGACTTGAGAACAGAGAATAGGCAAAGCTTTGTTTTCCATAATCAGCTTCTTGTGAATCACTGAGAAATAAAAAAGTACATGATTGTATCGAGAATTAGTACTAAGGATATTTAAATATATGATCGGCTTTTTATTATATATTAATTAATTATAGAGATCATCTATTGAGAGGCAACGCTCTTGTGGTCCTACCCGGCTCGATTCCGGATTAGTCGGTTCCCCTGTGGATCCAAAAACCGGAAGGTTCCTGTACCAAAAAGAAAAAAAAAATATCAATTGTGATACTAGAAGAAACTCAACAGAGATTCTGGAGAATGCAACTCTGACCCTTAACCTCAGCTTGAAAAGCAGAATATATAGCTGAACATGGGAAAATTTCAAAACTAGTCTCATAGGTATAAGAGCAGTCTCTTAGAAAAAAATCACATGCCATGTAGGAAATAGACATAGTCTATAAAAAAATGTTTCACAATGCAATTAAAAGTAGACCTAATCTAACTTATGTGGCACTAGAAAAAAGAGACCAAGTCTACACTTGAGTCTATTTTGGACCCACGGGCAAACCCGCCTAGTCATTAATTGTTCACAATTTTCTTTTTTTTTTTAATAGGCAAAATACATTTTTTTTGTATGCATTTATTATTACTATATTTTTATTGGTTGTTTAGTATTCTAGACCTAGTACTTTTTTGTTTTGCATTGGATAGATTTTGGATTTTTTAGCTTGGGTTTGTCCATGTCATTATGGACTTAAGTCTATTTATTTGCCACATATGCAAAAAGAGACCCAAAGCATTGTGGGTGCTCTAAGGTGGTGACAGTTTTGGTCCCAACGGAATTCATAAAATATTAATAGTCCCCCAACTTTTAAAAAATGATCAAAAGTAGGACTTTTTTCAATTTTCGGCCCGGAATGCCACGTCGCACACACGTGGCGGGACTATTTAATATTTTTTGGATTCCACTAGGACCAAAAATGTCACCTCCCAAAACATGTGGGACTAGTTTTGATTTTTTCCCTTGGCATTGTACTCATCCACGTTAGATGAATGTGGCCACGTGTGTGCGACGTGGCATTCCGGGCCGAAAAATTGAAAAAAGTCCTACTTTTGATCATTTTTTAAAAGCTGTGAGACTATTAATATTTTTTTGGATTCCGTTGGGACAAAAAATGTCACCCCCCTATACATGTGGGACTAGTTCTGAATTTTTCTCGCTGAACCCGTGAACCACATTGAGGGCGCATTTGGATATGAGACGAAATCGATTCTAATAGGTTTTGACCGATTGGATTATTTTGGGGGTGATTGGTGAAGAAAGTGAGTATTTTTTATGGTGAAATTCACCATTTTCGATTCATCGGAGTTAAGCCACAATAACCGTCTCAGCCACATGTTTATACTTACACGTATGCATGCATGTATCAGATAGAAGGACATCAAAACGACTTCGTGTGGGGTAAGACACAAACCGACGTCGTTTGCATTTAATAAGACCAAGCCTACTAATAAAAGTGCTACACGATTCGAACAAAATAAAATGCGACCAAAACAACATAACAGAAAATATAGACAACCTTCACTTCAACTTCATCACCATTCACCATGCAAGAGCCACGATCAAGGATCACAATTCCAACAGCCCCCCCCCCCCTCAAGTTGGGCTGGGGTGATGCAAACCATGCCCAACTTAGAAGGAATGAACATCGGGGGGCTAAATTTCATTTTTAGTCCAGTATATTGGACATTTTTCAGAAAAGATCCATTATATAGGGTGTCATCAAGAATGGTCAATTAAGTTGCCACTTTTGATTAAAACTTGTACAATAGCCAACATAGTATACTAAAACTGGTGACCACTTTTAGTACACTATGTTGGCTATTGTACGAGTTTTGATCAAAAGTGACAACTTAGTGGACCATTATTGATGACACTCTATATGATAGATCTTTTTCGGAAAATGACAAACATAGTGGATCATTTTTGAAATTTTGTCAACATAGAGGCAACAAAACCTGTTTCGAATTTGTCCCGGACAAAGTGACAATCAATTTTCAAATGCTTGGTTCTCTCGTGAAATACCGGGCTGGCACTGATGTGTAAGGCACCCTTATTATCATACCATAAAGGGATAGGGCAGGTGAGATCGAGATGAAAGTCATGTGCAACATAACTGATCCAAAGCGCCTCAGCCACTAATGAACTCATAGATTGATACTCTGCATTAAGTTTATTCAAAATAATTATCTTTAACCAACCAAAATAATTATCTCACAAGAATGATTTAATTATTCGTGACCAAATAGTTGTAGATATATTGTAGAATATGCTTAACAGCAAAAAAAGATTTGAGTATTGTTGACATAAGAATCTTCTCACACGTCGGATGAGTGACACGTGGACCATGGGAGAGGACAAGAGTCACGCCGAAGAGAGAAAAAGAAAAAGTTCCCCGAGCTGCGGAAACCGACCTCTTCTGGGCGTCGACCTCCTCAATAAAGGCCACTCAAATGAGGGTTGATGTCGGTACCGATAGGCAACATTAAATGCATGTCCATCAAATGTCCAAGAGCCACGTGAGAACATCATTGCTGAGGGGCCCACCTGCAGTAAAAGCTTGCGCTCTGTCACACCGCATTAAATACAGCCGTATCTCTTAAAAAGACGAGCCTACAGTTACTATAAATAGCAGCATTAAACTCGATACGAGGATCGGCTTTTCGGCACATCAAATTCTACATTAAACACCTCGGCTCATCATTTACAATCGACTTATTGTACTAAAAAACCCGACCACAAGTCCGAAATACCGACTTGTGACTGTTCTTAATTACATCCCATTTAACGAATAAAGTACTTAGTGTTGGAATCTCCTTCCTTGAGCCATTGGGATCTGGCCTTCTATGCCCAATAAATCTCTTCATCTCCTGTGATTTTGTTTAACTCTTTTAGCAGTCTGTACCACTCATTCCAGTCTCTCTGATTTCCCAATGTGCTCATCTCCTCAAGCTTCTGTGTGATCAGCTGCTTCTGTTTGATCTGCTCACTTTTAAATGTAGAGCTCCATTTCAACAAGGATACTCTAGTGGCTTTAAGCTTTTCAAAAAATTGGAACATAGAGGTGCTTGTTTGCTCCAAGGACCATCTTTGTTGCATTGCTTGTTGGATGCCTTCCCTTTTCAGCCATCTTTTGTCAAAAAAGAACCTTTTCACTTTAGGTCTGCCAGCATGAGGGTTGTCAGTTAAAAGCAGGAGCCTATGATGAGAGGCACTCTTAAAGAAGTTCTCCACCACAGCATGCTGATTAAACTGAAGCCAATCATAGGAAGCAAAGATTTTATCAATCTTTTCCTCAATGAAGCCTTCAGCCTCTCTGTTGTTGCCCCACGTGAATTTATGCCCAATTTGGTGCAACTCCTGCATACCCATTCTAGAGATAAAAGCATTAAATTCAACAAATTTCCTCTCAGCCTTCCTTCTACCCCCACTCTTCTCACAATGATCACAAATCTCATTCCAGTCTCCCCCCACTACTCATTTATTCCCCCAACTGAGCCTAGCATTCTCAAGAAACTGCCATTGCAAAATTCTCTCCCTTTTATAAGTACTAGCATAAATAAAAAACAACCCAGATATCCTCATTGCCCTCAGGATCAGCTATTTGCAACTGAATACAAAAAGAATTAGCAAAAGACTGCTTAATAATCGCATCTTGCTTCCACAAAAAAAGTAACCTCCACTAAGACTAAGAGGATCAACTGCAAGCCATCTATTCCTAAACCCAATTTTATTACAAACTGATTTAACAAAATTATTTGGTTTTTTAGTTTCTGAAAGAAACACAAAATCTGGGTGGTGGAGCCTTGAGGCCTCCTTAAGCTGGGAAATTGTAGAGGGTCCATCCAACCCTCTACCATTCCACATGATAAGCTTCATTGGTCAAGTGGGGGCCACTCAAGGCTGGCCACCCCCACCTCCAAAGAATTGTTCTTAATCTTTTTGGTACCTCTCATGTCAGCTTCTGCATCTTGCTTTCCATCTTCATTAATTACCAGAGCCCTCTTCTTTTTCTTTGATTGGATCTCCTTCTTCTCAGGAATACTTCTTAGAGCTTTGCCACTTGGGATTCTAGCTGCAGCTGACTTCCTGGTCCACATCTTTCTTTTTGGGGCATTGAATAGCTCCTGATGATCCTGTTCAGGATTGCTAGTGTTATCCTGTTCGGGAATAGTGTCCATCAATTCTACTTTTTTAGCCATCACAATGCAGGAGCTAGTACAATGATGAATGGTTATTTCCTCATTTGCAATACATATCTCTTTCCCTTTTATGAGATTGCTGTCCTCTGGCATTGCGTTCTCAGCTACACTGACCTCTTTCCCTAGCCCTTCTTTCACACCACTGTCTGTTGATTTGTACCCTGTGTCTTCCTCTGGTTGATGAGAGCTTGGTTCTTGGCCAGTGGTGTGAGGATCATCTGGGTGACTCCCTAGAGTTGTAGTCGAGCTTGATTTGTAGCCTTAGTTGCCATCAGTAGCTCTTAGCCAGTCTCCATATTGACCCTCTTTAAGGCATCCCTTAGCAATATCATCATCTTTCTTGTTACAAGCACACTCCAAATGTCTAATTAGGCCACAATAAAAACAAGCATTTACAAGCTTTTCATATTGAAAAATAGCCCTAATCAGTGTATCATGAAGCTGAAGGCAAGCCACCCTGGGTAGTGGCCTGGTAACATCAACTACAGCTAATAGTCTCAAGAAACTCCCTTTCTCCCCTCCTGCTTTGATCAGAGGCAGTTTTAACTTTCAAGAACACCTCTCCAGCTTTCAGCCCAACTTCAGTGCACAACCAATTGATTGGAATATTACTCACTTGTATCCACAAATGCAATTCGGAGAATCTGTGATGC